CCCCCCCCCCCCCCTCCCCTCCTCCTCAAATCCCCACATGCGACCAAAATTCGAACTACGTGTTGCTCCATGGAACGACAATATTTAAATTCCACAACTTAACATTTATAACTTATTCATTAATATACCGATTTATGTTATTTATGTTCGGGTTAAGTTGGCTGTATGGCTTGCTTTTCTTGGACCTAGGGTTGGTCAAGATATTGAGATGGTTCGAATCAGTACATATGAACGAAGGTCGCCGTCCCTGGGTTCGAATCCTGGTGGGAACCTGCTGCCAAATTTATTTGGTATGGAGCAATCACTTTGAAGGATAATCCCTTGTGCGCAGAAGTGCACAGTTGGTGAGGGGAACCTGAGAACTAGTTGAGGTATATCCCACGATTTACCTCCTCCAAGGTTCTAGGGGCAAGGGTCTTGGAGGTCCAAGATTTAGTCTGGCAAAGCTGAGACACCTGTGTATCAAAAAAAAAAAAAAGATCTTGAGATGGTTCGAGACTGAAAAATACATGGTACTTCGTTTCTTAGGAAACAACGTTAATGTATTTTCAACTCCGAAATTATAGTTTGTAGATTTGAACACTGCCCACAATAAAATTACTTAGCCAAAAAAGTGATTATTCTTGATGGGCTTCTTCCTGTACTGGTCCTTAAGGGATGCTTATGGGTCCTCTTTATTTTAAATTTATGGCATTTTTGGTGCTGAAAATTCCTGTGACTGAGAAAGTGTTTGGCTTTTGTGGTAAGTTATGAAGAGTGACGCAGCAGGTAAGCAGATCGTGTGGAAAACAAGGACAAGGCACTAATCAACAATGGCGTGGAGGGGTTGTGGGGACTTCTCAATTTCCAAAACTTTATGGGTTTTTTAGTTCTTGTTCGGATAGCTTAAAAAGTTGAAATTAAAGTAAAAAATTAATTTTTACCACACATTTCACAGAACTCACGTGAAGAAGAAATATAAAATAAAAAATTGCTACACTGAAATAAGCAAACAATTGAAACAAGGCGGGCAAAAAAAAAAAAAATCAATACATTGGGTAGTAAATTATATATGCTTGCATAGATGGTAAAATTATTGAGAAGAGATTTCACCAAATAATGAAAAATACGGCCAGCCAAAGTATTCTTGTGATATTGGGATTTTTTTAGGTGCGAGGTTCTACATATTTATTTGGGTAATTAGCACATAACGTCCCTACTTTTTAATGTTATTATGAAAAATGTCATTATCTTTCATTTTTTTTTGACAATTTTACCCCTATTTCTACCTTTAATTGAAAAAAAGTTATTTTCATCCATTTTCTCAATTAAAAGTTGTGAAATGACAAACATACCATTCTTTTTAAATAAAACAAAAGGAAAAAGAAAAAAATAATTGCAATCATAGTCCCAAATTTTTTTTGAAAAGCCTAAATGAATCCCAAATAAATTATTAAAAGGGTAATTAGCACATAACGTCCATACCTTTCAGTATTATTGCAAAAAAGTACATAGCTTTTATTTTTTTGACATTTTCACCCTTAATTACATATTTAATTGCATAAACCAACATTTCTATATATTTTCATCCAATTTCCCAATAAAAAAGTGTGAAATGACGAATATACTCTCATATTTAAATAAAAAGCTAAGAAATAATTATAACCATAGTCCCAGAATTTTTTAAAAAGTGCAAACAAACAAGTCCCCAATAAATTATTTAAAAATTTTAATTTTTTTAAAAAAGTGCAAACGAGTCTTAATTAAATTTATTTAAAAATTAAAAAATTAAAAAAATGCAAACGAGTCTCAAATAAATTATTAAAGAATTAGAAATTTAAAAATATATATATTTTTATTTAAATAGGAGGGTATATTTATTATTTCACAATTTTTTATTGAAAAATTGGATAAAAATTGATGAAAATGATGGTTTGCAAAATCAAATGTGTAATTAAAGGTAAAAATGTAAAAAAAAATGAAATGTATGTACATTTTTCGTAATAACGGTGAAAGATAGCACATTATGTACTAATTAGCTTTTTAATAATTTATTTGTGACTTATTTGCGCTTTTTAAAAAAATTTGGGACTGACCGCAATTAATTTTTTTCTTTTCTTTTTCTTTTATCCAAAGAGATAAGTATATTAGTCATTTCATAATTTTTAATTGAGAAAATATGTGAAAATTATATTTTGCGCAATGAAATGTGGGAATGGGGGTGAAAATGTCAAAAAATGAAAGATATGAACGTTTTCCACAATAAGAATGAAGGTGGGGACGTTATGTGCTAATTACCCTATTTATTTATGCAAAAGTTTAATTTATGAATACTTCTATTGATTGTATTAGATACATCATGTCTTGTTCCTTCCTAGTCTCACACAATTATGTTAGCAATTATCGCCGACAATGTCATCGATGATGTCGACAATTATTGATAGTGCTTTGGTTTCATATCACTTATGCAAAGCCTATCTCTAATGACATTTAATTATTTTTACATTTTTTTCTTTTGATATTTTGAAGTTACTATGTGATATCTAATCCCATGCGCTCTCCTAACTTTCGTCATTGCTCAGTCGAATGTTTTTGCCGTTCACAGCTCCCTTTGCCCTAACCTACTCTAGCTTGATAGTTTTCACAATTTGTCTAGGATTGACCTTAAAATTTGAAAGTGGACTTAAAAAGTTACCTATAGATGCTTCGGCTCAATCATTATAGATAATAGTAATACTGGCATTCTCCGACTTATCATGCCAATTGACCCAGAGCTAGACAATGTATATTCTCCCATACGCCATCATTGTTCCTTCTCCCATAAAAAAACTTGCGATATGTGAGCTTTCTACCTTATCACAACATTGTTTATTCACACTTTCGTCGTTACAGAAATTGCACTCCTACTCCCGAAGTTATATTACCATTTTACCGACTTCTTGTGGCGGCTCCATTGTAATCACTTGCCAATTTGTTGACCTCCGTAGGTTTGGGAAGCAGGAAATGAAGCCCCTTCGTCCGGTAAATTAATAGTAGAGAAAATACTAAAATATAATAACTATTAATGTGCAATTGAATTTTAATATTTGATTTTAATTAAATTTATAAAATCTTCCTAAAACAGTGGCTAAATCGATTACCCGTGAACTTGTTAAGCCTTTGTTTGGTGAAGATTAAAATTAGATTTTTAGTGGATTTTGATAAAAGTTGATGAAATGTGTGGTTGAAAAGTTGTGGGACCAATGAAATATGTGGTTAATATTGATTGTTTGACTTTAACTTAAATTAAAATCTAATGTAATCAATACCAAACATGGCCTAAATCTCAGAAGTCCCCGCAAGGCCACAACCCCTCCATACCATTCCATCGTCCTTGTTTCCATTTTCGGAGCACAGTGTCACCATCTTTATAACTTACCACAGAAAACAACTTTTCTTAGTCACAGGAATTTTCTGCACCAAAAATTGCCATATATTTATAAATTCATCCACCAAAAGTCAATGAAAATTTAATACGACGGAAGGGACCCAAAATCAAGCAAGATTTTTCTATAAGCATCCCTTCTGGCCAGTACAAAGAGAAGCCCAGCAAGAATAATCACTTTTTTTTTTCCATAAGTGATGTTACTATGGCTGGGTACAATGTAACAGTAAAAAAATCATTAGCTTTGCAGAAAACCCTCTTCCGATTCATCATTAAAATTTGAAAACCCCTAGAAGAAGAAACACAATAGACTATTGTTGTAGGTTTTTCTAGTTTCTGGTTTTTGAATTTGAGAAAATTTCAATTATATTTCAGTAACTCAGTTCTTATATCTACAATTATTACTATTTTAAGCTTTCTTGAATTTCATTTGTAATTTCTGTTTGTTTGGCGCGTGCATAGGAAAAAGTTTTACCTGATATGTTCGGTATTGGGCGGGTTTCGGCAATGCTTTAACTAAGTTTTAGATTTTTCTGGTCGGGTTGAGTACAATATAGTTTAACAAAGAATGCTATTTAGCTCAAGTGGTGCTAAGTACCCGTGTGAATCTGTTATCAAGAATTTGCAATTTTTAAGCATTTGAATGTAGCGAACGTCTCTTGAACTCTTAAAAAATGTTTTAAAAATCGACACGGACATTGACTCAAGGATAAAGGATCAAAAGGTCGAATCAGGTTGCTAATAAGAGAAATGATTGTGGTTTCCACAGGACACTCGAGTTTCTGATTGGTGGGAGTGGAAGCTTCAATGGCCCCTTTTTCAAATTCTTTAGGTGTCAATGGTTTTTTCCTCTCTCTCTCTCTCTAGATATGATTATTGCCCTGCCCTCTTCCATTCAAACTTTTCACTGATTGTCTGTAATTTCCTGTTTATTTGCATTTTCTTTTTTCAATTTTTAAATCTGTTTTTCTTCCATGATTCCCTTTTTTGTCTTATAATACTGTATCTCACGAGCTTGTGTCAGGGTGAATTTTTTAATTTTTTCAAAATATCAATAGAAAAAAATAATCAAATGTTCATCCTCAATTATTTTAAGGTTCGATGCTTCATTTAAATTATTTCCTCCACACCAACGTGTTTAGTTGTGTCTTAACGCTACTTTTCTCGACTCTACATAATATCAGAAAAACTGCTTAGAAGCACGTCAAAGGCTTTTGTTTGTGGTTGTGTTTTATTTTCTCTCTTCTCTATTCTTACAACATGTAAAGATTCGAAGTGTCCATAGTAGTATTCTCTATTTCAGTAAAAAGTAGAATCTTTACAGGCTTTCTCTTGCTGTATCTGAAAAATTACGTTGTGTTTCCTCTCTTTTCTCCCTCTAGAATTACATTCTGAATTCCAGAGGAAAGAAAAATGGGAAAAGCTACAAGGTGGTTGAAGGGCCTGCTGGGGATAAAGAAGGACAAGAAAAATGTGGAGAACAATTCAAATTATGGCGAAAAGAAAACGGAGAAAGGATGTAGTTTTGGCAAGTCAGGCGAGGACTTGACAAAAAATAATCTGGCCGGGGACTCGCAGTGGCTAAGATCTTACATTGCTGAGACAGATAAGGAGCAGAACAAACATGCAGTTGCGGTGGCAGCCGCCACAGCTGCGGCTGCCGATGCTGCCCTTGCTGCCGCACAGGCGGCTGCGGCTGTTGTGAGGCTCACAAGTCAACGCAGAGGGGCTGTGTTCAACGGAGGAGGACGGGACTTGAGGGCTGCTGTCAAGATTCAGACAGTTTTCAGAGGTTATTTGGTATGTGGGATTCAAGTTTCACTTTATTTTTTTTCATTCTTTATAGCTAAAATCTGATTTCCTCAACTGAAATTATGAATGTCTGTATAGGATGTTTTCTTCTTTGTTATGTGAATTCGCTTCAAATATCAGCAAAGGGAAATTTGGACATTCTAATCAAACAGTACTGATGTTTCCTATTACCATGTTTTTGAACATTTATATTTTGAATTTTTGATGTAATTATTGTTTTCGACTAGGCCCGAAAAGCTCTTAGAGCCCTAAAAGGACTGGTGAAGTTACAGGCTCTTGTTAGGGGATACCTTGTGCGAAAGCGTGCTGCTGCGACTCTACGCAGTATGCAAGCTCTCATTAGAGCTCAGGCTGCTGTTAGGTCTCAAAGAGCTCGTAATTCGATTAACAGCTGCAGATTTATGCCAGAGTTGCAAGCTAGAAAGTCCATAGTAAGAAAATATTCTTCAGGTATTCGAGATATTTCATTACTTGTGAGGCCGGGCTTGAACTTGAATGCTACTTTTTTCTTTGTGAAATACAGGAAAGATTTGATGAAACCAGAAGTGAACTTCATAGCAAGAGACTCTCGACCTCTTACGATCCTTTAATGAATGCATTTGATGAAAGCCCGAAAGTAGTGGAAATCGACACATACAAGCCCAAATCAAGGTCCCGGAGGATGAGCACTACCATGTCAGAATATGGCGATGAGGAATACTATCAGGCAATGTATTCTCCTCTTCCATGTCCATACCCTGCCCGTTTATCAATACCAGCTTGTCGCCAGCATCACGATTCCGACTGGAGCTACACGACTGAAGATTACAAGTTCGCCTCGGCCCATAGCACTCCCAGATTTATGACTTCATGCCGTGCCAATGGTCCAGTTACACCAGCCAAGAGCGTGTGTGGAGATAGCTTTTTTAGGCCATACTCCAATGGCCCTAATTACATGGCAAATACGCAGTCGTATAGGGCAAAGCTGAGGCCTCACAGTGCTCCGAAACAAAGGCCTCAGTCGGGCACTAAGAAGAGGCTTTCACTTAATGAAATAATGGCATCAAGAACCAGCTTTAGTGGGGTTAGAATGCAGAGGTCAGGTTCTCAATTTGAAGAAGATTTTGATTTGTAGAGAGCTAATTATAATTCAATGGCTCTTATTCTGTGTGTTCAATAGTTTAATTGAAGGAGCCAAAAAAAGAGGTGAAAATGGCATATTTTCTTTGTATCTCCTTGCACATTGCTGCTTCTCAAATTATGATACACAGTTTGCAGAATATGGCAGACTAACAAACCTGTTTTGGCAAAAGAAGAAAAAGGTCTAGACAGACGTTAGAAAGTTGGAAATTGTGGCAATCATTTTTTTAACTTGACTACTCCAGAGTCGAATCACTGTCGAACTATCGATTTCACCACTTGCCAAGCTATATAATTATTCTCGAACTAACGAGTGGTTAATTTTCAAGTATGGAGTTGTAACTCCCAAACTATGAAGTGAAGAGCAGTAATGTTCTCAACCAAACCCCAAAGAAGGCATTTTTGTTTAAAAATTGAGTACTCTTAGCAGTGCTACACTTACCAAAAATGGTTGACAAGCGCTTTAACCGAACACTCACAATAGGGGGAGAGCCCACATTTTTTCCCATTTTTTATTCACGCGGGACCTCACACGCATGTGAGAGGTTGTCAAACTCGTTGTCATCAATTTTCGGTACAAGTGGAAAAACCTTTTTGTAAATAAAGAAAGTCTTTTATGATAAAAGTAAGTGTGAAAGAATGGTTTCACTCGACCAGACTACACAAAATTTTACATTGTGTAAATTTTTTGTGAGTATTGAGGACGATCTTCAAAGGGTTATATTCTATATTCCAAAAGCTCGCGTAGGCTCCACCTAGGCATGATTAGGCGTGCGACATAGAGAAAAAGTCTCGCCTAGTGCTTAGGCGAAAAACAACGCGAATCGTTTTATTTGACAAATGATATTTTCTTGTTTTGAAATTCAGACTATCAAATTGCCTCTCTATTATTAAAACTTCAGGATAAAAAAGACCAATAAAAACTTCACCTTACTCCAAATTTAGCCCACGAACATTGCTTTTTCTGTTAATGAACAAATCATTATTGATTTGGGATATTTATAATTTTGAAAAATATCTTTTGTTTGAAACTTGAAAAATATGTATGAACTACATGCTTAGTGCATCTAAAAGATCTGACTAATAAATTTAGTCGCACATTTCTTGTTTATACATGTTCTAACTTATTCAATATTGAGTGGATACAATTTTTCTGTAGAAAATACAAAATGAATTATTAGGCTATGTTTGATACACCACCTTTTTCATGGAGAATTCCATTTTCCAAGTTTTCATTTGTTTGATAGGTTTTTGGGTAATTACAAAAAATCAGGTGTATAACTTACACCAATTCAAAAATCAGGTTGAGAGTTTATTTATTCAAAAATCGGGTATTTTATTTTAAATATCAATCCCTAAATCTATCCAAACCCTAAAATAATCCATCTCTCAACTCTCTCTCTCAACATTTCTCTCCACTCTCTCCACTGACCACGCCTCCACCTGCTTCTCCTCCCCTCCTCATCCCTCCCCCTCCCCTTCCCCCTTCCCCTCATGGTTCAGCAGCGTCACATCGCAGCAACGTTGCTGCCAGGGTCGTAGCAGCGCGACGGTGCGACGACGCTGGCAACAGCGTCGTTGTGTTCAGCAGCGTTGTTGCTGATGCTGCTGCGAGTCAGCAGCGTTTGTGATGGTGTGTAGCGATGGTGTTGGTTTGGCAGTGGCGGTGGCGACGGCTGCGGCTACAGATTTAGATCTCACTACAGTTGGTGGTGGAGTGTGATGCTGGAGGTGGTGTAGGATGTTGGCGGTTTTGGTGTGTTTGGGTGGCAGTAGTGGTGGTTTCGATCGGGTAGAAGCTGTGGTTTTTGTTGTTGGCGTTGATAGGTGGTGGTGGTTCGAAGGCGAAGTTGGCGATGGTGGACGGTATAGCAGTGGCGATGGTGGTTAGACGGTGTGACAGTGACTAGGCTCTGGATTTTCATTTTAGGGTGGGGTGGGAGGTAGACAGGGGGTAGTCTGTGACCAAATGTTAGTAATCTGTGATCAAATGTTTGTTAATTTGTGACCAATCACTCAACTATGACTTAAAAATTTAATAATACTTGACTCAAAAATAATCTGTGACCTCGAAATAATCTGTTATGTGACCTTGAAATAATTTGGGATAAAAATTTTTAATTAATTAAATTCATATCTGTTTTTGAATTTTCAAACTATTTACCTTACTTTTGAATTGTGATAAAAAATACACCTTAAATATGAATTTTCCCTAGGTTTTTTCTAGGGAAAAGGTTTTCCCACTTGAGGCCGCAGGGTCACATTTTCTTGCTTTTTCTTGAAATCATTTTCCCACAACTTACGTGGGAAAATGGTTTTCCAGGTAAATTTTTTTTTTCTTTTGTTTTTTTTTTTTTTTTGCAATTGAAAAAAATTCTAGACAATGGTAAATTTTTTTCACTTTTATTGATAATTTTCATGCAAAACAAAACCAAATGAATGGTATTCGGTATGATAATTTTATTTTTTGACAATTGGAACAAATTCTAGACCCAATGGTAGAAAAAATTATCATTTTAATGGACAATTTTCATAAAAAACGAAGTCAAACGAACACCAAAATTTCAACATTTTTCAGGTGGAAAATTATATCATTCAAACACAATTAATTACAATTCCCAATAAAATATTTTTTAGGCAATTCAATTCCTTGTAAAACATTTTATTTTCAACAATTTTTTACATTTGTAATTAAACGGACCCTTATCGTTACATATATATTTCGAATCTAATGATTTTGACACAAATTTCTTAATTTATTATTCGTGTTTTATTCATTACTTTGAGTTCAATTTTTTGTAAAAATGATTTTTGTAATAGTGATTTTTTTGATAAACATGTAGTTAAAATATAAGAAATTTTTTGAATTTATGTGTAAGCCCCTGTTTGTTGAGCATTATCTCTTCCTTTTTAGACAAAATCCAACCGTAGCAAATCAAATCAAATCAAGCCACTATTTTTTACTATTTCTCTCACAATTGGGACCCACGCATAACCCCTAACGGTCATGTTTTTCTACTCCTCAGCTGAATAATGCACCCCGAACATGGGCTAAAATTATTTTACTGAAAGAATGTATAATTAAAAAATGATTTTTTTTTTAATAAAGGGAGCTCAAATATATAGCTTGATGTTTGTTCCATCAAATTCAAAACTTAGATTACTAGTTTTCTATATAAAGAAATCCCTTATCCCATGAATAACTTGGGAGCTGCACTAATGGCTAATGCTGGCGTCATCTTATCCCCTGTCCAAAAGTAACACTTAAAATATTAGAATAAAAAACAATATCTAAAGATCTAGGAAGAATTAATTAATGAATAGAAAAGGTTTGTTAATGCAAATCGAGGAAATTAGTTTTTATTACAGGTTTGAATAACTTTGAATTTTGAAAAAGGGGGTTTGGGTTTAATCAAAAGAGAATTTGAAAGTAACGGTCGTTTGGAATTTAGTCAAGTGCGGAATTAATCGTGACCGTCAATTGTTTTGGATGAAATTTTGGTTGGCTTTTGATTGGATTTCAAACCTCAAAGTTCCATATAGGCTTTCTTGGAATGTGTCGTTGTCGTTGTATTTGGGGGAAAAAAAAATCATATTTGAGAGATTAAGTATAATTTATTTCAAAATTTAAAAATATGGTTCATTATTTTAAAAATCAGATACTATTTAAATTTTATTTATGAAAAAATTAATTAAATATATTATGGTCACAATTACGTGTTTATATGTCACAATTTATTTCTCAATTACATATTATCAAATTAATTGGTCACACATTATTTTTCATTTACAAATCAAAAATTTTACAGGTTGCAATTCATTTATTGGTTACAAATAATTAATTTTATAGGTCACAACTTATTCACGATCACAAATTATCAAATTAATTGATCATAACAATTACAAATTTAACCACAATCACACGTTATTCTAGGTCACATATTTACAGACCACAAATTAACAATTTATTCATCACATACACCCCACCCCACCCTACCCCACCCCTCCCATTCGCACCACCAACCCCACAACCACAACACCCCACCACCATGAGCACAACTGCATTCAGAACCACCACCACCTCGTCAGCATCAGCACACCACCATCGCACAACGCAGGAAAAAGTTCACCAAAGCACCGCACAAAACCATCGCCTCAGCATTGCACAAAATCACTTCATCGCTAGCATCACCACACCCATAAAATGCAGTGCTGGAGAAACGTTTAGATCGTCCATGTGCGCGGTGATTTGTGAACAAGAAAACACTACGTCGCGTTTCGACTCTGCATTGCAGAGGCACAACGCCGCTCGAAGAGACTCAATGTGGAACTGTGCATCTACGCGTAGAGGCGCAACTCTACAGATGCCTTCGATGCCTTGCCTCAATGTCGCGCGCGGTGGCGTAGGCTACAGTGAGTACATCGTCTATTCATATGGGGCTGTGTGTTGTGTTACTAGATTGCCATGTCACCGGAGGTGGTGTGTTGCCGAAGAAGAGAGAGAATATAGAAAAGAGAAGGGAAATGATAAAAAGAAGAAATTGAAAATGATTTAGAGTTTGGGGTGGATTGCATGGGATAGGATGGGTGTGGTGTGGGGTGGGGTGGGTATGATGGGTGTAGAGATTAATTTAAATTGGGTGAGTCGGCGGTGGGATTTGTAGATTTATTTAATATTATTATTAATATTTATAAATAATATTATCATCTGATTTTTGTATAAAAACTTTAAATCTGAATTTTGAAGTTGAAACTTAAAAAAATTGGTAGGGCGTAATTTCAACTTCTATTTTTCCCTTAATGGGCCCAAGAACAAATTGTGCTCACAAGGCCTATTACAACCCCAAATTTCATCATCCAGGCTAAGAATTGATATTTTAACCAAAATCAAACCGCTCGAATCTAAATCGAGAACCAAAAAAATTCAGACCCAGAACCGATAAATGATGTTTTATTTTTTTTATAAAGTATGACAATTGGACTTGATATATTCCT